AAGAAATAGGATGGTGAAAAATCAAATTTCTCGATCAATTAAAATTTAATTAAACATCATTAGATAGGCTGAAACAAGGTGTAAAGTGATATAAAACATAAAATTAATTAGAGGATTTGGGACAAGTGCTCCACAAAATCGAGGCTGGTATTAACAATGTATCTTATAAAAGGAAGGGCACCAGCAAGCTGAGTACGATAGTTGCAGAAATCAAAAAGAAAGATGTTCAATTCTAAAAGTTTTGATATTATGTTGCATCTGTGAACATATCTTCAAATACATTGAAAAGCAATCGTCGAATCTAAATCGTCACAAGTGCTATTTACCAATTTATTCGGAGGCAAGTTGGAAGTTAGTAAGTGTAAACGACAAGAAAGAAGCAATTGATGCCTGCACAGCATAGATCTTTGATTTTGTCAGTCATTCAGTGTAATACAAGGAAATGGGTTCCGAAATATGGTCAAATTTTTTATTAAAATTGGAGCATAATATGGCGAAAATGTTCATGTAATTAATATATTGCCTGACTCAACAACAATATCTTGGCGAATTAATGCAATAGCTGAGGAAAAAAAAACACATCAAAAGGGAAAAGCAAAACATCAAAATTGCTGTCGGAGATCCATTAGCAACGAAGAATTACTTGTGAGCAACGTTAAAAATTCATTATAGTAGATTGAATGTTTACACTAAATTGTCTTTACTATTTAATGAATTCGACTTAAAAGATTTGGAACCAATAACTTTTGTTACTTATAAAGACAGCAATATTATAAAGGCTCTTCAAAGAATTTACATAATAAGAGATTTAATTGCGCTAATCACTTACTATCGAATATAAATAATTCCGCCTTCGATGTCACTTCAGAATTAAAAGATATTAAAAGCTGCAAACATATTGTAAAATATTTTAAAAAGGCAAATTTGCGGCATATGTTAAAAACGTCTGTGAAAAGTTATTGCACAACTAGATTGAACTCACAATTTACAATGCTCAAGTTAATAGAAAATAACTGACTGAAGATTAATGAAATCTTGATGAAATCGTCAGTCAGAAGTTTGCTGTTCTCTGGTTGTTCTCTGATTTTGATATTATACCAAAAAAAAATTAGAAGGTTCTGCTTATTAGGTATACGTTAAATTTGGTAATACCAAAGGATAATCAGTGTTTCTAAATCAAATGAAAATGATGCAGCAGCAATTTCTGCCTTTAAAAAGGAAATAATTGAAGGCATACAAGAAAAATTGATGCCAAATTTAATCGTCACCCATAAAGTGGCACCCTTTTTTGTATCCACCAACAAATCACTTCCAGCAGAACGACATGGCAATCATCAAGAAATATTGTGAGCAAGAAATTATCAAGCAGTTAAATCCAACTTCGCAACCTGCTGCCTTATCAACTTTACAGTTAACCTGACAAAATTAAGCTGATGAATCAAGTAATAATAGAATGGAATAAAATGGGTCAGTTAAGTAATGAATATGTGCATATCCAAGAAAAACCAATGAAGGAAAATTGGTTTACTAACCAGAAAAAATAGTAAATATAATTTACACCTAAAAGAACACCTAATTTTATGCATATGAAATATTTTCAAGAACACAAACAAAAAACATGCATTTACAATGCTAACAACAACAACACACACACACCAAAAGCACAAAACTAAAACACACAAATGTTTTGCTTAGCAAACAACAGCGCCCACACAAAATATTTACGATTGCTATAACAGACCGAGTCATTCATTTTCGATGAGTATCTTCATATTCACCTCAGTATATGCTATGACTTATGAGTCGTCTGTTATGTGCGCTACTCTATTTAGAAATATGTATGCATTCTTGTGAAGCATAGAATATGCTATGAATCACTTTTGAGGCGAATGTGAATGCATATAAGTAGTGCGTGAGAAAAACATTCATACGCATTTAGATTTGGGCTTTTATGAGTGTACTCGAGTGTTATAATTATGACTCATTACATTTCTCAGATTTGAGTCTTTAAATATACGAAATTTATATTTTCTATCTGAAAATAAAATTGTCATCGGTACTAAACCTCGAACACCGGTGTATACCGCAACAAAACGGAAAAAAACCAGATCTCGCGTCGAAAGAGAGATAACATATGATTACAGCATTAAAGGCAACACAAATATTAAAATCAAAATTATCAATATACCAACATACGTACGTAATCATTGTAGCATAAAGGTTCTGCAAGTAAAAACAACGCCTAAATCTTGGTTTGACATCAAGATATCAGTTCAGTATATTAAACTATTTTGCGTTATAGCATGATGTTATAGCATTAAGTATAATTTCAAGATATTCAAATTTTGAAGAGAAAAGCGAAACACTGATTTTTATTATCAAGTGGAAAAAATTATCAGCTGTTCAAAAAATTATTAACAAGCTAAAGTTTTCAAAGTCCTTTTTTGTGATTGAAGCTGAAACAGTTTCCAAACTATTTGCCGGAGAAGATTCAAAAGTGATATTGATGATGTAGCTGCTGGTAAGTCCAACTATCAATAACTTTTAAAAATATGCAACACAATTCAAGATTACTCTTCGGTGGTATTCACATAATATGATCCTACAACGTTAAACAATAAACAAAGAAGCCCTTATTATGAATACTTGAAGCAGACTATACAAGACGTGTTGAGTAAGAGCTTAATGCACAATGGTAAAAATCAGGCATAATGGTAAAAATGTAATCGGCTATGGATAAGTTTTTATAATTAAGAAATTGTCAAGTTGGCGAAGTAAGATAAAACAATAATGAATGTCTAATAAAGCCGCATCATTTTATTACAAGACGAAACTTCAAATATGTAATTATTGAACATATGTATTAAGCTGTCCGGTGTATTACGAGTTACCCGACAAATTCAATATTTAGGACGTTCGCGAGTTAGGCTATGTTGCATTCTAAATGAGGGAAATTCTAAGTTGTGCCGATAATGTAGTGATGTGTCGATACGTGTTGATAAATGGTTAAATGTGTGCAGTGCAAAAAATCCCAAAAAACTTCCCATTTGGTTTAACATCAACTTAGCCTAACTCACACACGTCCTTAATATTGATATTAATGTTAATGTTCACATACGTAACAGAAGCAGTGCTTTTATTTTCAGTGAAGCTCTGGTAAATTTGTTCATATATGGTTAGCCATCCACAACCAAACACTGCTGTAATTACGTCAAACACTGAAAATGATTTCAAGTTTAAATGGAATTCATTGAATTTGCCAAAGGCTGAATTGAATTAAAAATTATTATTAATATATAAAATTGTAAACAAAACTTATTGCATTTATGCGATTGTTTGTATAAGGGTTTATATGCTCTTTCTTTTTAATAAAAAGAGTTCTTATAGTTTCGTATGTGTATTTATTAATATATTTTTTTCGAATAAAGTACTCGTGTTGCTGTAAAGCTACGCTGGTGACAAAGGAGCTTTATTAAAACTTAGAGGGATTTTGAATAGCAAAAAAAGAAAAAAGGATAAACACAAAAATTTATTTTAATTTTATTGAAATTTGGCTGACCATACAATGCTGTTTCGAGTATTGCCAAGTATTTTTCCTAAATAAAATTGCCAATGTTTTAGATTTTTTAACTTCTTTATCAATCAGGGCGGGATCCTAAAACCACTAATCTTACAATCATTGAATTAGGATTATTTATAGGTAATTAATACTAAAAACATAATTTGAAAATAATCGTAAATTTTTACAAATAAATTCACAAGAAAAACTAAAACTGTTTTTATTAAAAACTTCATTTAAGCCTTATAATTAACAAAAAATAAACTAAAAACAATCAAGTAGTGATACATTTTACAATTATATTTTGATAACATTAGGTAGAATTTGTAACAAATGTACAAAATTTTCGAAAAATGAAATTTTAGCCAACTTTGCAAATTTCAGTGTTAATTCAAAAAAATTACATTATGAATAATTGTGGCACGAAATTGAAGGCATGTCAATCACGAAGTGCACGGCGCAGATCAAAAAATATTTAACGCATGAAAACAACTGAAGCAACGCATGCTGAATTTGGATCACACAACGATAAAAACATAAGAATGTTAACAAATAATTTGAATGAATAACCTAAGCTTTCTTCAAGCTTCAATGATCGCGTTCACTGAGACAGTGACACTACAAACCACAAAATTCCATATTAATCTTTTGTTTTTATGGACAATCAAGTTTATTCAAACACTTATCGTAATGAAATGAGAGATAAATCTTTACATGAATAAAGAACAGATTTGAAATGTAAGGAAAAATAAAGATGTGAAATTGAAGTGTATCTGCTTGAACCTGTTATCCTGTCAAATGCGTTTTCTATCGAAATCGCTCTATCTATTTAGTTACATTCTTATTGTGTCGTTATTATTTGGATCCAACCAGTTAACGCAGCATTTTCGATAAAAATGTGGCAATATTTTCTTTCTTATGTATGTCGTATATTTATTATTTTCGTAATCGGATATCCTTCCTTATGAAGAGCATAAACAAACACTATTTTTCACATAACTTGTTTATAATATAAAAAAGTTATCTACGAAAAACGAATAAAAAATCATATCACAAAAATTTTTAAATGATTTCCAAAAAAAACTTTTTGGGTCTATATTTACTTATTGTGTGAATTTATCTAGTTATTTCAAAATTTAAAAGAATAATTAAAAGTTTTGTTTCTTCTTTTTAAACTTTAGAAATAAATGTATACAAAAATTTTAATTTGAAAAATATGTTTATGTTGTGTTTCTATATTACATATCAAATCTCGTAAGGTGAACGCAGACTTTATTGGCAATGTGTACATCGGTTATTATTGAAAGTATCCCTTCAGAGATGTAGCTTTGATAAGAGACAACTGGTATACTAAATAATTTGTTTGTATCATAACCATCTGTTTGAAAGGTATGTATATATTTATTTAATTCTTTCCATCAGAAAAACGATGAAATTGGACTCGAAATAATGATTTGATTTTGATATATGCATTTAATAAATATTAAAACTTAGATTAATTTTGACATTTTATGCGACAGCAAATAATTATTGAAATTTATATATACCTTGTCGTCCAACTATTTCAGCGACGTGCTCAGAACTGGGTACTGGAACGCATTCCGTCATATTTTGTGATTTTTTCGATCGATCTTCCAAATTTGGTGCAAAGCAAGAATTTGAATTGTTGCTATTTACAAAATGATTAAGAGAAACTATATTTGACACACTGTTGTTAAATAAATTATTTGTGTGCGTTCCTGTGACTGATGCAGCAGCGGCAGCAACAGCTGCACTAATAACATTTAACGTATTTATATCAAAATCATTTGACTGCTGATCAGATGGCATTATTTGATTTGAACGTAGTTGTGATAGTTGTTGGTAGTTTTGATTGGAGTGTTGCATTGTCTGAAGCTGTGCAGACGTTGCTGATAGCGATGACAAGGGTTCATTTAATCCAACCATTGATAATTCCAAAGCGAGTTGAAGTGTGCGAGGATCCTCAGCAACTGTTTGATTGGTATTATTTGCGATCATATCATTCAATATTTGAGTCGGGCTATGACATATATTGTCATTCACAAGCGATGATGCCAAACTAGCAATTGAAAGTGGCTCTTGTTGTTGCCTACTATCGATAGAATTAGAAGCTATTTGACCATTTGAATCATTACACAGAAGTAATGGTGTTGAAAGTGATTCAACATGTTGATTATAATCTCTAGATGAATGTGATGACAGAGTAGAACGAGTTATATTTGAATTCTTAACTGCAGTTGAACCCATCAATGTTATATTCGATATAGTGTCTTGTGAATTAGCTGATGATATTATTGATTTTGTTGTATTATTCTAAGGAAAAGAAAAAAAGGGAGTTTGCTTTTAAATTTTTATTTACATTAAAAGAAATTACCAGTGTCGGAACAGACATTCCAGAAGTTAACGAAGCTGATGAGATTACCCTCTTTGATGGCTTAGAGTCTGATGAAACTGGGCTTATAACTACAGGAATAGTAGCTTCTGATAGATTTTCATTAATATTTAATTTAGAAGCAAAAACACTAGTTACAGAGTCAGCACCAATGGACATCATAACTTATACTTTAATATACTTTCTGTTTTTTAATTTTACATTTATCTCGTTAAAATAAATGTAGTTCGAACTGGTATTTAGGTTTCTTATAACATCTCAAATGGTGTATTGTCAATCGTAATGCTTCACATGCTTTAGTTTCTGTTGCTTAAATGTTTATTCTGTATTTATTTAATCCATTTGAAAATTCACTAAAAATTAAATTATTTTTATATTAATATATGTTTGTAGAGGTTTTTAGTCAACACGATATTTATAAAATATATTGATGTATTCTTATTGTTTTCAATTTTATATTAACAGTGTTATTTGATTAAAGGAATAATAACTAACTAAGATATTTTCGAACAGCGAACTAACAAAATTTATTCTTTGCCTTTACAAAATTATATTATCTATAATTCAGAAACAATCAGAAAATTAGTTACAATAAAAACTAATAAATAAAAAAGAAAATATTTTCTGCTCGAAACAAGTATAAGAAATTCATTCATACTATAAGCGCCACCAACAATATCTCTTTAGGTATTTGCCGCTTTACCGAAAGGAATTCAATTAACTTTTCAATTTATTTAAAGATTTTGAAATTTTTGACGTTTTATTTACTATTTTACTATTAAATATTCGAGAATAATTATATTTTACAATTATGAACACAATATTTTATTTAACTAGTATTAAAAGCCGCATCAGTAACTGAGTTGTTTAGTGAAAAGATAATTATATTTCAGAGAGATGGGTGTGTACATTAAACCCCCTAACAAAAAAAATAAGGATCTCTGCAACCCCAAAAAATGTCTGGATATTCTTATAAACATTATAGTTATACAATACGAAAATAAAAATGTGTATTTGTAATACATGAATTCTATATATGCGGCAATGGAAAAATGAATATTATTTCAGAACTCCATTCGAGTTTAAGGGTGATTTAAGATGTCAACTTCGTAAGGCAAGCGTGTGTTAGTGCGCCGAAAAACGAAGACAGGTGTGGACATAAAACAAATGTGAATGTACACTCGCTTATAATAGTATACATTTTTCGTTAGCTTGTTCTGGAATTTTTCGCCTTAGAATCTGCAAACAGAAATGTTAATTAACATTTATGCATTTGAACATTATATATGAAAAATTAATAATTAATATTAAAGTAATGAAATTATTTAATAATAAAAACTTTATACATAAATTTACTCAAATTAGATGATACTTTTAAATAAAATATTTTTAGTTGTTTTGTATTTTTTAGATTATTTGTGCAGGCACACGTACATAAGTTATATATATCTCAAAACAATTTTCATATTTTTCTGTTATTGGTGCGTATGTTATAAAATCGTATGCACAAAATTGTTTATTTCGTTTAATTGTTTATTTCTAACTATTAGTTCTGGCTTTAGTATCGATAATTATCTGTATGGGGAAACACTAAATTTTATTAAAAAACAGATTTAAATGAAATTAAAGTTAATAATCTCACCAAATACAAAACTGAGTTTTATTTATTTGCAGTTTACTTCACTTTAATTTGTTTTAAGTACCGAATGATTTCTTGTTACAATTTACAATTCGTTAAGAAAAATATGTATGTTGTATGCGTGGCCGGTGTTCGTTGCAATATTGCAAATTAGCAAAGATGCTGCGCATTCCAAAATGTTGCGATATTTGAAAATACATCTACTCGGTTTGTATATAATTTTGTTACCATTTACATGGGATTTTATCCAATAGCACTAGCCGTATACATATTTTAGTAGTTAAAGTAAACATAAAAAAGCCGCATGACAGAATCATTGTTTTGTTTTTCTTCTTTCATTTTCAAGATAAAAGACAAGAACGAATTATATATTTACTTCAATAAATCCAAGCCACATAAGTATACACCAATACTAAAATACCATGAAGATATCAATATAATTTGTATTAAGTTTTTATTTTAATATTTAATATTCATCACAGAAATTTGGTTTACATACAAATAGTTAGATTTGCAAAAATAACCTTTTTATTCACATAGTACTCTATTACAGTTGCATACAAAACTTTACTAACGCCTAGCGCGCACTACTTTCATTCAATTCAATCAAACTGGCAAAGTATTACATCCAAGAATCTATGCTCATATTGACTAAGTTGCCATTGTTTTCAATTTCCTTATTCTACTTGTTCTGTTGGGATAAAAATTTGTTTTAAAAGTACTCAAATACTCTCACACAAAATTTCCCCTCAGTGATTGCAACATTTCAGGACGAATGAATCGAGTTTAATGTGCACAATTTGTAACGATTACTACCGAAAAGTAATCGAATATTTTTGAATGCACTAACACATTGGAATGGTATGGTCCACTTTTTTAAGAAAGACAACGAATTACATACTTAAATGTAATTAAATCGTTTTTGCAATATATTTTGTTGTTGTATCATTCTCCTCTATGAAATACACTACATATATATTTTAAAATACAGAAAATATTAATTTTCAAAAATTAAAATCATTTTTTTTCAATTTAGTTCAAATTGATACTACGTTATCCATATATTTAGTACCTAATGTTGTTTGACATTTAAAAGAGAAACAAATAATAATTAAGCGTCCTTCCCCAATTTTCTATTATATATTGTAATTAATATCATAAAAGAGCAAAAAGAGATTGAAGCAACATATAAAAATATAAAAACCAAATGATATAACAAATGAAGATTAAAGTAAAAAAAGTGTAAAATATAGAATATATATAAATATGTTGCAAAATTTTCAAATTCTCGCTTTGGTTTTTACCATACAGCAGGAGAGTTAATGAAGTACGGTTACTTGAGTACATGTGATCTTCATTACGTCGATGGTGTCCTATCATATGACTGCTGTGCTGTAACCGTTTCCGTTGTTTAAAAAATTTCTTATTTTTCAAGTTAATTTAATATAATGCAATTTTTCACTTAATTTAATTTTTTTCAAATAGCAATAATGGCACCTCAGTAGAACTTAATTGGTTACGATATTACCTCTGCGCAAAGCTGGTTTTCCAGATAAGCGAAAAAAATTTCTGGATGTGTCTTAAGACACATTTCTGTAATTGCAGATTATGTATTAAATCATATTCCTCTAATGGAGGAATATGTGTAATGCCGGTTTCACATTCTATCCAAACTGAAGTACTTTTTATTTCATCAGACCCCTCGTTAATGTTTCACATTCTATCCAAACTGAAGTACTTTTTATTTCATCAGACCCCTCGTTAATGTAAATGTGTAGGTAAGATGATCAACAAACAGTTTTTATTGATTTTTATCAACGAGAGTTTTGGATTACTCGACCATTGAATGATACTTATGCATTCCGCAAAAAGCAATATGTATTACTAAACGTGTTATTTATGAGCATATTGTTTTTAAAATGCGGTAATTTGAATTAGTTTTAATTTATCCAATAGCAATAGTTCGAGCAAAACAAAATATCCAAATCAACTTCATCCTGTAAATACCTTTTTTAAATTTGCTGCACTTGCGGGAAAAAAACTACCGGTTAGAACTTTTGATGTTTACAGTTGATTGATTCTTTTCTTCTCGTTGCTTGCAGTCACATTTTTTCTCAGTCAGTCAATTCAGTTTCTAATCTCTGTAGATAAATCATTTGGAAGTAGTATTGGATTTTCGAAAAATATTAGAATTACTATACTTATAAGTGATCATAGCTGAAATAAAAACACTTATTGATAATGAAACTACTTTTGGTCCTTTTTCTAAAAACAAAGAAATCAATCAACTCTGTGTATTAGTCGGATATGAGAAGTAAATAGGCTTTCCAGATGAAATTTTGTCATATCCTATGGACTTTGGGATATCCAACACTCCTTAACGTTAGAGATCTGTAAACACGAACAGAACAGGGTGCTGATCAAATGAATAAAAAATAAAGAACAATCCGTGACAGACCTGCTGTATTTAATGTATAAATGTTTTTAGTGTATATTGTGATAAAATAAAATACCTAGTATCAAAACTGGGATAAAATACAAGTTTTGTACACTCGGAAGACGTAATCAATTCTAAACAGGTGCGTCAATACTATATTTTTGTGGTATAAAAATACTTGAACGTAGCAATGCGTATTACAATGCTTGTCACTACAGCATTAAATTATTGAAATAAAACGATTATAATAATCTAGAGTGCCGAAAGCTAACTAGCCCTAGTTATCTTTGTCTTATATTTATTTATTAATGACTCAGTAAGGAGGAGATATGTCGCAATACGCCGGTAACCGTTTACAAACTTTGGCTGGAGATGTACATGATTCGAATGCTCAAGCACATAATTACAGTAAATGCTATACATCAGATTCTGGAATTCATCCAATTGTAAGATCAAAGAGCGCTTGGGTTTCTATTTTAATTAAGATCATTTGCGATTCGATTTTAATAGATGGTGTGAAGATGTTGATATCAAAGACAAATCTTTGAAAGTTTTTAATATCATAGTCCGTGACCAAGTCAGATTTTTTGGCAAAGCAAATCAGTGGGATGAAAAATACAACTATCAATGTTATGGTTAGCTTATTTTAAAGACATCCATTCTAAACTCTTTATCGAACGGGCACTGACATTGTTGTTTAGTTGCGTAAGACCATGAATTATAACCTGTTTTTGCAGCAAAGAAAAATAAAAGTACAACAATTTAAATTGAAAAGAGTGCTTTTAATATTCTGACTGAAGGTATTAACATATAACATATAAATTCTGCTTTCTTCCGCAGAAATTCTATTATTTGGAGCATTTCCGCTCCGTCTACTTCTTATGCGGCTGCAACCTTTTCTTTTTAGTTGCTGGTGTTCCGTTTTTCATTTTTTTCTGAAAATAATTAGAAAATTTTAAATAACCAAAATATGTATAATATTTTAACAAACTTACCTTTCGCCACCAAACTCAAATTTAAAAACGAGAATCAACAAATGTCAAA